CCCTTTTTTTTTTGCTCTGGGGCTCGTTCGCTGCTCCAGAGAGGCCCTTGTGTCCGGGTTCGGCCGTGCCCCTATCCGATTCGGATTATCCCGACGCCTCCATGCGGCCTCCGGATTTCTAAGAGTCGCCCGGGACGCCCGAACCCCCCCAAAACACCCAAACTCGGGATCCGCTAAACGTCTACGTCGCATAAAGCGATTGAATTATTTTGACCGCACAGCGGTCCTACTAATTCACTACCCGAACATCCCCTCCTCGAAATCCACCGCCCACCGCGTACTAGTCTCTTATAAACAGACGCTATAACATTATGAACTCGTACCTCGTTTGTTATAACCGCGTACTACCTTGTGTTCCGCCCTTGCGCAGCTATTCGCCCCCTTTCTTTCGAGGATCGCAGCCGGCTGAAGGCGTTGACGAGATACACTGCATTCCCAGGGCCCGTCGGCAGAGCCGGCGGCCTCTGCAGAGCTTGGGTTGACATGTGTCGACTTCTGCCGAGTGCCTTAGCCGGGTCTGCCGACATCAGATCGGCAGACCATCAACACATGTCAGCCCAGATCGGCAGGCTCTGCCGACGGCCCCAGGGAACGCAGTGATACCGCTTCCCGGGCCAATCACCAAACACCAGCATGTGGCAGTCGCAGCCCCCCTCATTTGTTCTGCGGGGACTCCTGTCTCTTCCCCGAAGTCGTCTAGGACTCTCGATGTCACTGCCAAAACTGAACAGGTCGACTCGGTCAATCTCATCTCGTTCCCTGGAATCCCAGCTGCCGTTCCGGACCACATCCGCGCGCGGCGTACTTGGCTAGCATCGAGCATCTTTCACGCGCACCTTCTCGCTTCGTATCGAGCCCAGCGTCTCTTCGTCCCGGTACTCCCCGTCAATTAACTAAACCAATATTCGACAATCTGTGAGGCATCCTACGGGCTCCAGTGTATCATCATCCCAACCCCTCGAAACAACGCATTAAACGATCCTGACCCAACTCCTTCAGTGCGTATCGACCGCCCTTTAGCTATCTCCTCACCTTGCGGTATCTCCTCCCTCCCCATCCAATGAACGAGGTCAAACGGAGGGATGTGAGGTACCAGTTCAAGCCAAGTGCATTGCCGATTCGTTTCAAGTTTTGAAGTTCCGCTAAGGCCCAGAATCGGACAAACAAGCCCTGGCATCTTCCTCTCGTAACAGGCTGGCTTGCAGATGAATAACAATCGTTCAATCTCTTGCAAGACGTACCGTTATTGAGCTCGACCGTCCTTGTTTAGACTCTGAATCTTTGAAACCGTGGGCTCAAAGGAGCTCAACCAATCAGAAGGCTGTCTCGGACTTGTACTTGCTTACTTGTCGACGTGTTCTTCCCCTAAGTCAGAGGCCCAACTGGATTACCAAATTCAAATTATGACTATGAACCACAGCTCACGGATCGGTCACTGTTCAGTATCCGTACGTGGACAAGTCGGTGAGATCAATGTCCGAGATTACCAAATTAAAATTTATGACTATGAACAGCAGCGCATGGACCGGTCACTGTTCGGTATCTGAGTGAATTTTGACCACTGACTGGTATAGTGTCTACGCTGACGAATCGGTGAGAGCAATTGACCGAGATCAAACAGCTGGGTCATCATACATATGTCAGATGTAGGCGCTGATCTGCACTTAAATATCAGCACTTCCTCCCGTATAAATATACCCCACCCCTCCTTGTCGATCTCCTCAAAATGGCGACGCACCAGCAACGGTGCGGCTCAAGCTTAAGCCACATCGTCTCCAACGTTGGGGGTGGCTTAAGCCATCCCCCAGGCTTGGAGGTATGCATGGCTTAAGCTGCTGGCTTAAGCCAGGTTCAAGCCAGCTTGGCTTTCCTTTGGCAGGACTTCGATCGAGTTCAAACCGTGGCTTAAGCCGGCTTGAGCCGTGGTTTAAGCCATCGCGCTTAAGCCAGCTTAAGCCATCCCGCTTAAGCCAGCTTCAGCCAAAAAAAGTGCATCCCTTTCTCAGCTCAGTTCTTTTCACATCACAGAAAAACATATTTTGCATTGCTACTGTACAGGATATAAAGGGATAATAAATATTATGAAGGAGGAATCCAGATATGAAGCTGTGGGACCCACACCCTCTACCAATGTGATATCAATCACATTTATATCCTGGCTGAACCTGGAGATCTCACCATTGCCTTGGCGTGCACTGAGCAGGAGCCGCTAGTTGCTTGATGCGAGTAATACAGCTAGTGTTGCCGGTGTTCGGTTCAGAACCGATTCCGAACCTGAACCGAACACGAACCGAACCTCAATTCAGGTTCGGAGGCCGTAGAAAAACCGGACCGGACCGCGGGTCCGGGTCGGGTTTCGAGGATTGTTGAAATTTGCTGAACCTGTGCGAGCCTGTTCAAACCCGTAATTTTTTCTTTCCTATTAGCTGTGTTTTGGCGAAGATGTCGCGTTCCTGGAGAGTGGCGTGATCGATACATTACTTTGCGCTACAGGAGCCGGCCAATATTCAGCAATCCTTCTCCAGCTCAAGACATCCTACAGTTTAGCGAACACTTCCCCTCCTCGAGGCTCTGGCGGAGACCTGGGGTAACATGGCGGCTACCGAGAAATTCGAAGATATGCGAGATTCGATCAATGCAGGTCTTGCCAACCAGGAGAAATGGTATGGAAAGACTGATGATACCGATGTTTATTTCATTTGTCTCGGTGAGCCGCTTCTCACTCGCTTAATTTGATTTTGATGTTCTACCAGCGTTGGATCCCGAACATCAAAACCGTGTACGCAGAGGAGTCATGGAATCCTATCGCGTTTGAAGAAGGCCTGGCGAAACTGGAGGCCGTGGTGCGATTTCAGTCTAATTTTTGATCCGCAATCGCTGACCATATTGTTTGTGTTTGCTAGTTTGATAGTTATTACATTGGGCCCACCGCAGACGTTGTGGCGGTAGTGCTGGTGCAGAAGGGTGAATAAATTCAGTCCATCATTTTATTTCATTATCTGACTTCCAATAGCGCCGACTGCCCCCGTTCAATATGGGAATTCCTGGATCCGGGCCAAAGTCCAAGCTCGCAAAAACAAGGGCATCGCAACCGTCAACCACGCGATGAGCTCAACGCCTACCTCAAGGCCCCTTTGCAGAACATTGACAATGTTGTCTCTTGGTGAGGGGTGAGTAAAATTTTTAGGCGCGTGTGAGGTACAATTTCTGACCTGTCTCATATTCAGCATCATTCCTCGCAGTATCCGACGCTTGCACGCATCACAAGGGATTAAGCTAAAAACAAATGTGCAGTTAAAAAAATCAGAGATATTCAAACAAGAATCAATAAATGTGTCAAAAAATATCGACATGCTCGCAATGCGATGATTGCACTTGGATGCGACCCACAAGACCCAAAGTTTGGGTTTCCTGAACTCAAGGATGAGGACCTCTTCGCAAAAAGAGTTGATGAGCCACACAGCGTGGGTGATGGTGCAAAGACAGAAGGTTGGATTTGGCAACAGGGTTATTATGGAAACTTGACAGATGAAGAAGAAGCCAAATATGTGCAAGATTGTAAGTTTCTCTATCTCATTTGTCGACCATTCAAGTTCACTGTTATATAGCTGCAAAAATACAGTGGCACCGTGCTCGGGCAGATACGGAGCGATGGCAAGAAGAGCTTGAAATTGTTGGGCAGGAGTTTCACCGTGCAGTACAGGGATTCAACAAAATGCACTCAGTCTGGACTGCACTTGCTGATGACCACGAAAACGACTCAGGAAGAAAGGCTTATGCATCAAAGGTGGCAAGCATGTATGAACAGATGGAGAAGAATATGTCTCAACAGTTTGAGAGGGTTGGTGGTACTTGGCCCAAGGTTGGAGTCAGTCTGGCACAACATATCAAGTCTGAGCGGCCGGATCCCAGTATTGATTGGACAGCTGATGTAGAATAGAATGGCTGAATGTACTTGTTTATTTCAATCAAAATTTCTGATCAAAGAACTCAATCAAATTTCACTGTTTTGAATTGACTTTTTTTCTCTCTTTTGGTTCACCCATGGCTTAAGCCGAGTTAAGCCATGTTGGCTTAAGCTGGCTTCAGCCATGTTGGCTTAAGCTGGCTTCAGCCATGGTGGCTTAAGCCACAGTCTGTCTCAAACAAGACATGCACACCTTATATAGAGAGCCAGTCTGCCTATGGATCTGGCTTAAGCCAGCTTAAGCCACAGTGGCTTAAGCCATGTTGACGTTGGCAACGTTGTGGCTTAAGCTCAAGCCGCCCTACAGTACGACGCACATCGTCGCAATGCTTGTCCCGGCATGGGGACACAGTGCAAGCTACATCATGCCGCCTCCCTCCTTCCCTCCCCCTCTTCCTTACCTGTTCCTCGTCTTCCTCTTATCCCAACGCCACTCGCTCCTTACTGAAATCTTCTCGCAGACATACCGCCGCCCTCCCTGCCTCACGCACCAGCGTCTGACCCCGCACCCGATAAGCAGCAACCAAGCAAATAAAGAACGAAAACGAGATCATTCTGTTATGTACGATTTGACGAGATGACTGATGCGGCGCTCCGCACATCGACGGCTCGTATACTCGTTTCGATAGGAGCGGGGAGTTGACTGGAAGAGAGGAGCGGCGGGTTAAGTGGGGGGATGGGAGTTGAGAGGAGGAGCCCGAGGAAGGGCCGCGGCCGGGCAGGTTAGCTATTCTTATGTCTTATATCTTATATCTTTCGATGGTTCCTTTTTTATTGATTTGATTTGATTTGGCGGGTTGGGCTCGTACTCAGGCTTTTTGAGTCGTCGGCCCTGCGGCGCCGACATATCACAGCATATCACTCAAGCGCGCGCTTCGGCAGTCGGGGTTCGGGGAGCGGGGAGCGGAAATCGGGCCGGACGACGACTCTCAATCTGCATCCGAATTGCTCCTCTGTGCTGCATCGAGAAACAAAAAAAATGAAATCTGAGGCCAGGTCCACACCATATATCTAATCGGATGAAGATAAGTATTCGGGTGTGGTGTACGGTGCACCGCGGGTCTACGTAATGACCTTGGTAGTATAGCTTTATCCCGCAGGCCGGGGTTCGACGCCCTGCGCCCGAATTTTGAAGTTGCGACACTTTTTCTGTTCTTGGTTCTTTTATTCGCGGGGCTTGCCTTCGAGGACGTGGATTTAATATTAATTGCTCTGCCTGATTTCGGTGTGCGGAGGAGTACTAGCGCACATTAGTCTAGTGTTTACCGCGGGCATGTGTATGTAGTGCGCCGTTATTACATAATCTTAGGTAATCTTTTTCCGAGTCGCGTCCCATTGCACGGGAAACACATTTTTCAGTGAAACTTGAAGCCTTATGAGGTTTTATTATCTATCTCTAACTTTCTGTCAATTCAGAATTTTGCCACAAGCCCTTGAACCTGTGGTATAAAGGTCGTGGCTTTTGCAAGTGCTCGGATGAGTTGAAAACCACAAGTAGTGGAAAGTGCCCTTAAAATTATCAGAAACCTTGCAGATAATTTATGTCTCAGTTCAACACAAATGAGTGTTCACTGAAGGCCATAGAGACCAAAAAACAGTGAAAAGAAATAGATGTTTGCTGTGGTGTTCGAACCGCGAACGGCCTAAACTTACCTAAGATCACGTAATAAGAGAGCTCTGCATACATCAGCAAGATGACAAAACTCTTGCCGACTTTGGTTCTTTGAGGTCTCGTTTGTCTCGCGTCGAAAAAATAAAAGCGCCGAAATGATGGCTAGATGCCAATGTACTATGTCTTGAATTTTTTTTTTTTGTACTCTTGCGGGTTTTCAGACATAGCTCGCAGTCTTGCGGTCGCGTGGTCTTTGGACGCTTGTTTGTTCGCGCACGAGCGCGTGCGAGCGCGCACAAGCACGTACAAGCAAAGTGTCAAAACCCCGATGTACACGACCCCGCGGTAAGTAACAGACTCTATACAGCGAGGTACGAGCGTTGGTATAGAGCGTGTGTCTACGAGAGACCAAGCGCACATCACAATCAGGGCCTCAGCCGGGACTCGGGAGAGTACATACAAGAATAGTAGCATAGGCGTTCGTTGAACGCCTACTCTGGGGCTGAACGCCTATCACCGACCTGAACGCCTATCAAGTGAGTGAACGCCTATCGAGGCACTTGAACGCCTATCTCGCGTACGCGGATCACTGTGACTCTGTCACTCGGAACCCGAAGAGTGGCGCGACATCATCACAGACACGACGCGTTTTCTCTTCCCCCCGCCCACCACTACCACCATGGACCGGAAGGACTTCGTCCTTGCTACCCTTCTCCAATCCACTGACACGGAACTTGAAGATTACAAGCGCTGGATCCGTACGTACCCCACGCGCTGCCGATCACGTCAACTTCTTGATAAGTATCATAGGTCTTTCCTCCGAGATTGCCCAGAAGCCCGCGTATAGCGCGTCAAACGTCCTCGACTGGATCAATCTGGACAAGTTCAATGCCTATCTGTGTGAGAAAGAAAAAAACACGCTGTCAGTCCCGTGAATATACCTTTTTTGCCCACCCCCCGACGCATCAATTGATCTAAAGTGAAAGGTCTAGCCACGCGGACCCTGATATTATTGAGATCTCGGACTCCGAATCCGAGTCGTCGCCCCCACTTACCCGTCATCTTCCCGAGCACGTCGATTCCAGCTTTCCCAATGGTCACTGGCAGCAGTCTCCCAGCCACACCAATCTCGTAGAGAGCGCACATATGGCCTCGAATAAGGCGACAAAAATCAATCTTTTACCAGTCAAGGCCGTCCGAAAGTGCGTGTGCCTTTCCCTGAATCCTCACGGCTTGGACTTACTCAAACAATCATACGGAGCACGTATATTCGACGCGCAAAAAGCGGCGTCGATAGCCGCCGCCCGTCAGACGTGTATTTCGATAAACCGCAATAATCACGATCAAACCAGAATACGGCGTGCGGTAACAAGAGCGTTAAAGCGAAAAACCTACCGCGAGGAGCACGATGACATTGGTGAGTCGATCGTTGAGACAGAGCAGGATCTCGCGACCTTTACAGAAAGTAAAAAGGTAGCCGCCGCTCGTCTCAAGGAGCTCAAGTCCCAGAAGAAGGAGCTCGGTCGAGTCCCTCGTCACAGCACCTCGGGTCGGACTGCTCGGTCCACGTCGTCGATCCCGCGACTCGTTAGGAGTGCCGATGATTCGGAAAACGGCAAGTCATTGATTTAGCATTTCTTTGTTCAATCGTTAACGGACATTTATAGAAAAATCGGAGTCTGATGTCGAGTTCAGTGGCTCAAGCTCGCCATTGCCCCCTTCGTCGCCCGTGAGCTCATCGCCCCCGCGCCTCCATCGTACGTGCATTCTTATCTATTTGGTTCAGAACCGTACTGAGAGAGAGATAAAAGTGATTGATGATGACGACATGTTCCCGGCTGGCATATCTGCCCCCACGGAGTCGCCCTCGTCTGATCTTCTTGCACCTGACCTCGAGACTCCTATATCTATATCAGACTCCACCGAGCCGCTATTCACCTTTACGGAGCAAAGATCTGGCGAAGATTTTTGGCGCGATGCCGTCGTTGAACGAGCCGATGCCGCTGGTTGACCCGGGATTCCTCAACCTCTTCAATTTCAGCGCGTTCGAAACGCCCATTGCCACCGGAAATTCATGGGATGAATCCCAAACTTTCCTCCTGCCGGCCGGCACATTGGCTCCGCCGCCTGAATGACCGACATTACCCCCCGTGCCGGCATTACCCCTGCCGACCGAACCGGACGCGCTCGCGCCGCCCGTTCCTCAACCTACACGAAAGCGCCGGGTGGAGGTGGATCCCACTGACATGATTGACGGGCGGCGGGTGCGGAAAATCCGGGCACGCGAGTGGTGAGCGCGTTGAGAATAGACTTCTTTTTGATGGATATTACAAGTTATTAATTGGTTCGGGTCGTATCCCTCGCGAATTTCAATCAATTATTTCCCGCTCTCTCTCCGATCCGTGCAGTGCATCTAAATATATCTGTGACACAGGTGTTCGGAGCTTCAGGTAAATCCAGCCGGGGGAGTAGGCATTCATAGAAATAGGCATTCACTGTATAATAGGTGTTCGTTTGACTGAATAGGCGTTCGAGGGCATCAATAGGCGTTCATTCCCATCAATAGGCGTTGACGAACGCCTATGCTACTAAAGTTGTCGTGCCTCGACTCGGGACTCGGGCCGCGGCAATCACTACGTTCCGCAGCCTCCTAAACTCAGCATGAGTAAGGCCCATCTAGACATAGCTCAACAGAGGTCTGTGTTTAGCTCTGTAATGAGGGTCTGTTTAGCTCTTTCTAGCTCAGTTTAGCTGCGGTTAGCTCCGTCTAGTTCAGTCTAGTTCAGTCTAGGTCAGTCTAGGTCAGTCTAGTCATACCTCATCACCTACACAGAGGTAAGTATCCACGATAAGGGTTCAGCTTAATCTGCACCAGAAACGTGTCAAAGAGGTCTGCGAAGGTCAGTGGAGCTCTGGCTAGGTGTCGAAACTGGGTCCTACTCAGCTAAACTCGGGTAAACAGAGACAGACAGAGTCTGTCTAGCCGATCCATCGTTGCCAAACTTGGACCGCCATCAGCTAAACACAGAAGCCGGTTTCATCTGTCTAATTGACCAAAAATGATCTGTTGGGTAAGCCAACTTTGCTAGACAGAGCTAGCCTGACCTGAGTTTAGGAGGCTGCGGAACGTAGTGAATGTTCTGTGCGGCATTATGTAATATTCACCGAGGCAAAATGGCATCTGGGCTCGTCCTACCATTTGACGGTATATATTCGTGAGTCGAACGAGCGTAAGCATTCGGGCGTGGTGTACGGTGCACAGCGGGGCTTTTGAAAAAAGAGCCCCCGCACTGCGCAGGGCGGGGTTCGACTCCCCGCGCCCGGATTCTTTTGAAATTAAGTAGCCGATTCCTTTTTCTGGCGCCGGGAGGTAGATCTTTCTATCCGCAACCTCCTTCCTGCGAAGCTCTCAGCCACTCAGAATACTACATGAATCTGTGGGCTTCACGGAGTAATTCATCGGGAGTGGTCACAAACAGCACCCTAGTGTGGTGTATGGCCCACCGCGGGTCTACATATGTTGCGGCGATGGGATTAGCCCGCAGGCCGGGGTTCGACTCCCCGCGCCCGAACTAATGCGTTTCACCGTTCTTTTTTGACTGCACTCTTCTTCCGAGTACAATCGATTTTGAGTTCGTGCGGCTCAGCGCAAGAGATGGTTTATGTATGTCGTATTGGATTCATTCAAGTCATTCATTCGGTATTAGGCAACACATGTACAGTAGTACGGCTTCAATCTATACGTGCGTTCTCCCATCTAGTCGCAACGTCATTCGTTCAGCCTCGAGGAGGAAGTTCTCAGCGCCGAGGCACCGATGCTGATCCGGGCGGGCGTAAAGAAGCTGCGCGAGCGCGATAACGCGACGGAGCCACATGACGGGCGTGCGGAGGTGCTGGGTCCGCAGGCGCGGCGCACATGGGTAGTCGAGCGCGGGTGGCATACACGAGATCATCCGCGGTGCTGGGACTTTCGTAACATTGTTCATTTGCGGCATCGGGGAGGAATCGCGCAGCGCCGCGACACCGACACCGACAGCCCATTCGTGCGACGGAGCCTTGCGGGCGTGCGGAGGTGCCGAGTCTGCGGCGCGCGTAGGGGGCCGAGTTTGTGAGCTTGAAGCTAGGCTCGGGAAGCGGAAGCGGGACGAGCGTAGGAGTATGCCGCGCGCATGGCATGCGTGCGGCGCCCGGGGAAGAAGGTCGCTGCGAAGAGGTAGGGTGCGGCGGCGCGCTTGTTCCGTCACAACGCTTCACCTCGCGCATCCGCTCACGGGCTGAGCCGCTCGCGATCGCAGCGGCCGTGCTCAGACGCTCAGGCTCGCAGCCGGCGGGCGCGCGCGCCGCGAGGAGGCCGAGGCGCGGGAGGGGAGGGGAAAGGGCGGCGGTAGGTCTGTGGGACGGAGTTAAGTACAGGCTCGTAGCAGGAGGAGATGAACAAAAGCGAAGGGCGGGCGCCGCGGAGGAAGGAGGGGAGGAAGGAAGTAATACGCACATGGCGGTTAATAATCATTTTAGCCATTGATACGGACGTTGGAGACTCGTATATCACTGGTACTGAGTGCCCCAAGTTAGGTCTAGAATCGTAAGGAGATAAGGGACGTACGGAGCACCTTGACGCGGGGGCGCGTTGCGAGGGCGGGCTCCGGGCGGCGGACGGGGCCTGCGCGGGGAACATGCGAGGACGCAGAGGACACCGTGGGCGGGGGGAGGGTCTCCCATGAGAGGCGCGGCGGGAGCCACGAGGAGGCCGGTTTGGGGCTTGTTTTTGGGAGAGCTGTTCTCCTGCACCTGAATAGCCTTGGCGCCGCTAAGAGGCAGCGCAAGGCGCCTGCGTGCAGCGACGGCAGCGCGCATGACGGCGAGAAAGAGAGGCGCGGTGAGGACGGTGAGTGCGGCGAGGAGGGTGAGCGCGAGGGTCGCAGCCGGGAACAGCCGGAGGCGGGCTGGGGCGGCGGGAGCTTGACTCAGTGGGATGTGATGGAGTATGTAGTGCGGCGGGGCTGATCCGGTTCGCGTTTTCAATGCCTGTATATCTATTCGCAGAGCTCGCAGATCACGGTGAGACTGTACCGTAGTTAACGGGCCTCGTCGTCGTCGATCCGCTCGTCGAGGACGCGCACTAGAGGCGGCGGCGAAAGGCATAGGTGGCGGATTTGCGGCGTGGCGCGAATGATGATGGCAGGATCGGCAATCGACTGAGTTAAACGGATGCCGCAATAAGTAACTTATGTAATTTCACTTATCGTTGCAGATTTAAGGGATTTGGCGGGCGCACGAACCTGCTTAAATCTACAGTTGATGACCAACCGTGTGATGCCGACGGTTGGGTTCAGTGCGCGTGAACTATCTGATCGCCACGGTCGGCGGGTCGGCAGGCGCAGACAGTTGAGCGAGGCGGCCGTGAACTGTGTGATCCCAACAGTTGGCCCCCGGAGTATGCCGCACCGGCCCGAGGAAGATAATCAATTCCGTGTTATCGCTGATGCGCCAGGTGTTAAAATTATACACCCCCCGCCCCGGCGGCGTGCTTACATCCCGTCCCGGAACAGAACGGGCATTCCCCTCTCTCTTCTGGACTGTCACTTCAGATACCTCTTTACGACACTTCAGCTTTAAGCGCACTTCTTGACCATGGACAGCTCTGAAATCATTCCAATCAATGCGGTCACCGCCGCGTCGGAGCGATTGACGGCGCTGAAGCTTCTGACCACCTACAAAAGGCACAATAGGGAGAAAAAAGCGAAGGTAGACAAGGATGATCCTGGTGGGTTTTTAATTTTGGGTGCTGCTCCACAACGATCTCACGGTATGATACAGGCTACAAGGCACGCCTTGAGGCTCGGATCGCGGAGTGTGATGTCTTCATGGCTGGATGTATGTCCTTATTGTGTACATCCCCATAATTCAGTTTTTCACAGTGTTCGCAACAGCCACCATTAACCCCAATGCGCCGACTCTCGACGGATCTCCAGTCGACCAGATCGTTGGGGGTGGTGGCGGTCAGCCGGGTATGCATGTTACACATATTCATTTCTTTCACATCTGACATAATGTCCTGTAAGGGAATTCTGATGCCGCCGGTGATAAAGGACCGAGCGATGCGGCCGCTAGCCCTGGCTCCGTGGAAGGTATGTAGTTCCCGTTCCCATGACTTGGCATCCAATCGGTGGGCCCATGTCCACGGTGCTGTGGACGGGGTGTAGCCCTTCAACAGTTGGAAACTGTTCCAACTGCGCACTGTTGAGAGAGTACATATTCTTGACACTCCGGGCGACTGTTTGTCCCAAGCAGTTGGTGAAACGCTCGCAATTGACACCTAATCCCAACCGTGTGCTTTGAACAGTTGGATGGTGCTCACTGGTGACACTATATCTGAACTGTGGAGTTTAGACGTCACCCGAGTGTCCATTTCCAGCACTTCAGATAAAATTCTCGTAGCGTCGTCTGCCAAAGTCCCATACTGACGTCCCTTCTATCAGATCCACCTATCGACCCCGCTTTCAGTAGCTCCGAAGCCCCCCCGCCGAAGAAAGCGCGTGGAAACGATGGCCAGCCTCGCCACCGTAAAATCAGTAACAAAAATTGTTCACATCTCTCACCCCGATTTTCTAACGGCTCGCAGTTACCGTCAGCCCGATGGAGTCAGTTATGGACTCCATCACCGCTCCAATGCTTGCTCGTTTTGTGAAAGGCTGGCTCACTTCCGAGACCAGAGTCCAAGCTGCAGACCCCGCTAGTCCTGCGGATGGATTTTCGGATCTTCGCGAGGCAGCTGCGGACATATTTGATATGGTCCTAAAAGTTGTTGAGCGGTCGAAATTCGCTTACGAACAGCTGGGATGGAAGATAGATTATGAAGGGGGCCCCATGCAGATTTCTCACCTTACAGCCCTTCATGATTGGCTTGTCACCGCTGAGTTAATGGTGGGGAACATTCAGAAGAAACCTATGCTGCCCCCCAAGAAAGGTACGTGGTTCTTCTATTATTTCCTGCAGAGTTAATTTCGAGTGTATTCACAGTTGCAAACGACGAGCCGGTCGTAAAAATCATCCATGATGGAAAGAGGGTCATCATGACTCGGAGTATGGCCATTGACGCCAGGCTGACCCCTTCCATGTACCCTGGATGTGTTGAGAATGGCATGGCACCTGTTATCTCTGTCTTGACAAATCGGGTGTGTCTCCAAACTCCAACCTTTGAATTGATTCTTACTCCACATAGGCGGGTAAGGAGAAGTGCATCACATGTGATGGTGTATGCGGTCAAGCACTGACCTCCAAGCCCGCCCCGCCCAAAAAAGACGGTTCTTATTTGACGGACTGTAAATGCCCTGTCCGTGGTGCAGCCCTCGAGCTTTGGATGATCAAGATGACCGCCGACAACGACGACATCCCTCAACATGCCAACGATGTTACAAACCACCGTCTCGCACTCAACCCCGACATTCTCAAGGTCATCGCTGGTGCGATTGAGGTTGCATCGGGCCATCAAATTGAGACCCTACTCACACCGGAGCGTGATCGGCTGCTGCATACGATCCACTGGGCGTTGGCGCGCTTGTATTCCATTGCCGATGACGAGGATTCCGTGTTTGCCAATTCCTTCGTACTGCTCTCTGACAAGCTCAGGGACACGATGAAAGCTATAGATGCGGAGGATTAGAACAGCATAGTTTACAATTTAGGTTCCCGATATTGATCTAGTGGTCCATCATACTTCGTTTGTCAGAGATGTGGAGTGTAAAAAGAAAGCAGCTGTCAACTGGTCTAACTAAACATTTGAGGTCCAGGTGTGGGATAATGACACCAGGAGGCCGCTTCCAAGTGTATGTAAATTACAGTTGGAACATGCTATAGAGTGTGAGAACCAGACAGCTGCAGTTGCAGTGTAAAAAGTTGACAGTTGAATTCCTCCTATCTTGTGTCAGAATACGTTATCTCAGGCTGTAGAAGGCATACAGTCGGCCCAAATCGGATCAGGCCTACACCGCGCATCCTGTCCAGCTATTTAATTTCCATTCATTGTATCAATAGCCTGTCATAGGAATTTTCACGACGCAAGTTGCATTGAGAACTCAACCCCTCATAACCCGCGCAAGCTAGGTTTGTTTGTGTTTGCACAATTTTGATCGCGGTGCTTGCTGCCCGAACTTGACCAAGTCTACGCCGCAAATTCTGTCTAGGTATTTAATTTCCATTCATTGAATCAATATCCCGTCCTAGGAATTTTTACGAGGCAAGTTACATTCAGAACTTAACCCCCCATAACCCGCACAAGCTAAGTTTGTTTGTATGTGTCTGATTTCGATCACGGCGCTCGCTGCT